GTTATGGTTATTGTTGAAAGATTTTATAACCTATACATGTCTTATTTTTACTCTTTGACATAATAAGTGATGTAGGACATCTCATTTGCATTGTTGAACACTTTCTCTTAACTTCTTGCATGTTGTCATTATTATTTTTCTTTTTGTACTCTTAGTATTATTTTTACCTTCTCTAATACACACCAAAATGCAATAATTTCTTTTATTTGAGCGAGTACAAATTTTAAATTCATTTACTTTAGCAAACATTGTATAAAACTCTTCAACTTTTTTCAATCAATCGAACTCTATTCTAATGTGAGTTTTAATATTTAGTTTTTCAATATTGAAAGATTATGTCACACCAAAAGAGTAAGAATTAGTTACCATTTTATGATATGAAGTAAAATCAATCTTTGAATTCATATGGAAGAAATTGAAAGGATTTATATTGGTTAACTTGAAACATAAACTAATTAAAGTTAGGATCACACCAATGTATTGTTGCGTAAAACTAAATTAGTTGGCATATCATAATATGCTATTGATAATTTTTTATTATCTATTTCAACAAATTAAAAGAAGAATTGGATCACACCAATTTATTGTTGCTAAAACAAAAGGTGTGACTATGTTCTTTCCGTGTTGGTTGATAAATCCATATTTTACTATATTTTTAGCCTAATTTTTGTTAGTAAATAAGGAGTTAAATAGTAAATAAACTTGAAAATACCATAAAAATTGTATTAATATTCATAATTGTGTAAATGGTTTAGAATTTTATATTTTATTCCAATTCTAGACAATTTTGCTTAGAAAGACTTAACTTTGTGCAAAAGCTTGAGTTGAAGATATTTGAGTTGAAGATTGAACTGAAGGAAGTAAAGGAATTGAGCTTAAAAGATGAAAAATCAAGTGTTATGTGTTGGGCATAGTCACTTTAGGTATATAGAGTTAACACTTTGAAGAGAAAAATTCATGAAGATCAAAGAGAGTGCTCACTCTAAGTGCTGAGAGTAGCCACACGCAGAGTTAAATGTCCATTCTAAGTGCTGAGAGTAGCCATGCGCAGAGAGTGTCCACTCTAACTGCTGAGAGTAGTCACGCACAGAAGAGAGTGTATACTCTAATTGCTGAAAGTAGCCACTCAAAGCTGTGCGTGGACACTCTAGTCACTTAAAGTAGCCATGCACAAGGCTTATTTGCACATAACACATGCGCGTGGACACTCTAAGTGCTGAGAGTATCCATGCAAAATAATAGAATTTGGGAAATTACTTTTAAGTGTCAACTTTAGACGTTTATAGTTTCCACTTCAGCCTTAGAAGCTTTTGGAAGGCTTTTTACGTTATTACTCTCAGTGATTAAAGTGTCAATGTGGAAGGTGGCGGGAAAAATTATAAATAGTTGTTAAGAGTTCAGATTTAGGGTCTTTTGCCATTTTTTGTTTTCTTTTCATTTCTACATCTTAGGAGAGTTATGGAGTGAGATTAGGGGCGACTTCCAAACTTTGGACCTTGAGAAATCAGGCTGGGGATTGGATTTATGAAGAAATTCTGTAGCTACTCTTCTTCTACTCATTCCCTCTCTTTTTCTTTTAGGAACATGTTCTGATTTCTTTTTGTTAGGGATCTATGGATCCAAATTTGATATTGTGATGTAATTTTGAATCTCGACTTTGAGGTTTTGATTGAATTGAGTATGAGATTTTGTTCTTAATGCAGTTATGAACTAATCCTTGATTCAATTGAACCTAGATGAATCTTTATCAATGAAAATTGAGTTTATTTCTCAGATCTGAATCATATGCCTAAGTTATTGAGATTTTAGGAATAAGTATCATAATCTAGTAATCCTATAATTTTCAGAACTTAATGTAATATTTGATTGAATTTCACCTAAGGAATTAAGGAGGTTTAATTAAGTATTAGGATCAATGAGGCAAGAAATTATCCTTTGGTTAAAGAAGTAAAATTGATTATCAATTAATTAGAATTCTTAAGAGTCCAAAACATTATTACATTGCAATAGAAAATCTAGTGAAGTTATTCCTAATTATTTTTTATATAGCATTTTAATACAAAATTCATATTCTGTTTTGCTGTATTTTTCAGATTTCTGTACTTTATTATTTTTGTTTGTTAAATGATTCAAAATACTCCAAATTCATTTGACTCAACTAGTTATTGATTTGTGAAGTGGTAATTGATAGAACTAATCCTTGAGTACGATACTTACAACTCACATTGATTTCTAAATTTTATTACTTGCTACAACTACATAATACACTTGCTAGTTAGTTCTCCAATTTTGTAACAAGTTTTTGGCGCCGTTGCTGGGGATTATTTACTTTCAATATCATTAGTAGCAGAGAGATAGCTAGATTAAACATTTCTTTTTGTTGTTTTGCTTTCTAATTTTTCTGCATAATTTTTTTTGTGCATATTGTGAAGTTTTCTGCATAATTTTGTTTGTGTTCTTGATTTTTGCATGAGTTGTTTTGCATTTTTCTGCATAGTTGTGTAATTTTTCTTCATAATTCATTTTTGTTTCTGCATTTTTTTTTGGATAGATTCATCATTTTTTTTGTTTGTTGCATAACTTTTCTGTATAATTTCGTTTTGCATTTTTCTGCATAGTTGTAAATTTCATTTTGCATAATTTCTATGTTTTCTATATGTTATGTTTTTAATTTTCTGCAAAATTTTAGATTTCATTTTTCTTAGTTACTGATTTCATTTGAATTTTGTTTACTTTCTTTTTTTATGCAAAGAAAAATAAAAAAAATAAGGTGCTCTATTGTTTGATGACAACCAACATGTATTAGAATTTTCATCAAAGCCAAGTTGCAAAAACAAGAGCCTATGAAGCAGATGCTTTTGAAGCTTTGATTAATAATTTTCAAGCTGGAGTTGCCCAAACTAACCCTTTGGTGTGTGATTTGAATGGAAGCTATGATGTGGCTGCACCAAAATTTTAAGAACAAATCAATCATGGAGGAAATTTTCAAAGACCTCAATATACATTTCCTCATGGATATCAATATCAAGCTAACATGAGTCAGCTACATTATGATTGGAATCAACAAATTTCTGCTACAACAACACCTTTCTCAAGTCCTCAATTTTTACAACTGTATTTTCAAGCGTCATATTCTCAACTTCTAGGAGGACTGCAGCCTTCAAAGACTCTTCCAAACAAAAATAATGAACTTGAAGAAACTTTGCTCCAATTCATGGAACTTACTCAATCAAGTTTCAAGAATCAAGAGGCATCCGTGAAAAAGATAAAGATGCACACAGGAAAAATTTCAGAGCAAATGTTAAATAGGTATAGTGAGAGATTGCCTAGCAACACCATGATCTACTTTCACAAGGAATGAGGTGAAAATTTTAAGTACTAAAGTTATTGAGAAAAGGAACCATTAGATAAATATGAAGAGAATAGTGATCAAGATAATCAACAAGAGGATTGCAAGGAAGAACAACTAACTCTTTTAAGAGAATGTAAGAGAAAACAACCAAAGGATTGCAAGAAGACACAACCTGAGAAAAGAACCAAAAAACAATTGTTTGAAAATGTTTGCAAGCCAATGGATGAAGCTAAATGCAAAAAACTTTCATTTCCTTAAGGACTGTAGAATTCTAAGCAGGAAAAACAGAATGATGATTCTATTCTAAGAGAGATCCTTGTTGGAATTAGATATGAAGATAATAAAAAGCATGAAAGGAAGCTGACTGAGTATGTCAAGTTGCTGGAAGTTCCTCCACTTTTATTTCATCCAAGTTCTGAACTAAATGAAGAGCTGTAAGTTGGTGAGAAAAAGGGAAAACATTTAAAGATAGGGCAAGAGCCATTATCATCTCTTAGAATCAAAGATCAATAGACGTCAAGCTAGTGACTTAAAAGAGTGCTTTGTGAAGACAACTTACATTTCTTTTTCTTTAGATTTTATTAATTTCTAGTTTTTTATTTTATTTTTTAAGAAAAAAAACAAGTTTTGAAATGATAATGAACTTATGTGAGAATGAGAATTAACAGGAAAATAAGTAAAAAACAAAAAGGCAAACAAAAAAATAACAACAATAAAATATAAGAAATAGTACAAGAGGTATTGTGACTTAACAAATTTGATTTGTCTTATAAATTATAACTTTTAATTAGATCATTTACTAATGATGTATATAAAATTTTTAGATTTATAAATTTCCCTGATTAAAATATAATTTAACATAAACAAATTATTCAATATTACTTTTTATATATTTTATAGAATTTATAATATAAAAAATATTATACATTTTAATTAACCAATATTAACATATCTATGGGTATATAATCTAAGTAAAAACTATAATTAAAAATTAATGATTAAAATATATATTTAATTTTTATTGTTGACATTTATTTATGAAATTTTTCTTGTATCTAAATTTTTATTTTACTTCGTATTTGAATATTTTATTATGCTATGGTGTAATTTGTTGTTTTAAGAAGTATTAAAATGACATATTATAATAAAGATCAAAGTGTAATAACAAATTCATATAAAAATTAATTAAAATATGTTTTTTAAATTTAAAATTAATTTTTTAATAAAATAATAATTATAAAATTTAAAATAAAGTTTTTGATAAATTTATAAGGATTTTAAATCGTATAAAATTAATTCGTAAATAAATTTCAAAGTGTAATATAATAACAATATTACATGCATTTTAAACCAAAGGTAATTTGATGTCGTTAAGGTCCATGCCACAACACTGGGCTATGGTTAATCAGTGCCCACCCGATCCAAAGCACGTGGGGTTTTGATTGGTAGAACAAAAAAGAAAAACACAAAAAAGTGTTTTAGGGTTTTTGCAAATTCTTTCATATAAAAGGAAGTCCTTATCTTATTAAATCGTTTAGCTCTTCCACTTCGCAATCAGTTCTAAACCACACAAGTTTCAACCAAGGTATCTTATTTTCCACTTTACTGGTTTTATATTCCCTCAATCACTTTTCATTTTCTCATTTTGTGCGGATTTTGGCCTCTGGCTACGGTTAATGTGACGATTTCAATTTGTATGTAGGATTCCGATTCATGGGTTTGATTTGGTTTTGTCTTTTTTGCCTTTGGGATTTTGGAACTGATTTCATTTTGGTTTATCAAGATCAATTATTATTATTTCAACAATTGGGTTCTTAGATTTTTTTTTTTTTCGTAATATTACATTTTACTATATAATGAACATAACTGAATATAGAAATATGTTGTGATGAGTTTTGGAGTTAGTCGATTGGAAAATTTGATGTGTGCCATTTAGAATTTGCATTTTAAGGATGTTTGCATAGCCCTCTAGGATGATGACTTGAATTAAAATGTTTTTGATTCTTTTGAGTTGTTCCATGTGGAGTATTGAACAGAGGTTGTATTCAATATCCTCTTATTTTCTGTATTCATTGAAGAACTCAAAGTGAGACTTTGTCATTTTGTTAAGAAGGAAGGTTATAGCTTTTAATGCTGAGTGCATGTAGTATTGTTTGTCTGATGTATGGTGTGCTTGACTTCAGCATGCTCAATCTTTTCTGGAATGGATTTAGGAGTACATGCATGATGTTACATACTAAAATAGGCTTTATCTAACATGGGTCTGACACCATGATGTGACTGAGATGAACTTGCACTGGGTGCAAGCCTTAGTGCCAAGTTTATGCAATGCATACATAGCTTTGCACTGGGATGCCTTGCTCTTTCTTATATTATGGGGATGAAATGATCAGCTATAAACTTATCTTCTTTCTTTTTCTCGTACTTTTCTTCTCACTGTTTTGGTTAGGTATTTGATCATACTCATAGCTGCTGTTCTTATAGTGTTGTGTCTGTCACTATGATTTTACTTTGTCTTTTTTTTGGTATGCTATGAATTATTTGGTTTTGTTGTTATAGTTTTGCTGGTTTCATGCTTTTTATTAGCAAGTTGATGATTACTTCTGATTGTGATGATGTGTATCTATGAATTATATAATTGAACCTACCTATACTCATTCATGGCGAGTCAATGAATTTTTTACCTGTAACTTATAAGTTAAATTATTGATTTTTATCTGCCTTATGTGTCTTAAACTTGTTCTCTTTGATGTTGTCACCATTCATTTAAACACATTTATCAACCTATATCTATTTCCTTTCTTGTGATGAAAATTATGCTTTGCTTCACTTTTAGAGAAATGGATGTAGAAAAGTTGAAGAAGATGGCCAGTTCTGTTCGAACTGGTGGGAAGGGTACTATGAGAAGGTATAATTGTATATCAAAATCTGAATTTATTTTATACCAAATTTATGTTATCTAATTTAACATTATCTGATGTTACTCTCAGAACAGTTCATAAATGTATTAGTAGCTTTATATTGGCATCTTACCTTTGCACCTGTATCAGAGAATATGCTACTGTACCTTGCATCTTTGGCTATATATTTTTCTAGTTTCAATTCAATTTTATGAAATCATTATCTCAGACATATATAATCGACTGCTTTTATGGTGTGTTGTTCTTTATTTGAGTTTGTTGCCTGTACTATTTTTTTTGTTTGATATGTAGATTGCATCTGTATAGATGACTATTTTATTGATGAGTTGTTTTCCTTACATTTTAGGAAGAAGAAGGCTGTCCACAAAACAACTACGACAGATGACAAGAGGCTTCAAAGCACACTGAAGAGAATAGGGGTCAATGCTATCCCTGCGATTGAGGAAGTCAACATCTTTAAGGATGATGTAGTTATCCAGTTTTTAAATCCCAAAGGTAATAGTAATGGATGATTTTTTTAGCATATAATTTATTTTAACATTTTAAGTTGACTAAATGTTAAACATGGAATATTCTGCAGTTCAAGCATCCATTGCTGCCAATACTTGGGTTGTTAGTGGTTCACCTCAAACAAAGAGTAAGCATATATAATCTTTTTCTTCATCTCCGTGTGATGTAATTTCTGACATGGCTTTTGCTATTTGCTTGTGTGTTACACACCAAGTCTTAACATCTATACGGAGCCTTCCCAATGTCATTGAGCATTGTGAAAGAGTGTGTAGTATCAATCTGGCTCAATTTTCATGCATTGCTGGCTTTAATTCCTTTAAGGGCGTGGATATCTTTGTTAAATGTATTTCACATTGAAATATCCAGATTTTTGTTGTAATTTGGGGCAATCCATGGCATTATTTTCCACCATTTAAACTGTTAGACGACTGTGGTTTTCCATTTGATCTTTAAATGAGTCATGCTAGATTGGCATTTCACTTAAGACACTTTTATGTTTTTTAGAGTTGCAGGATATTCTCCCTAGCATCATCCACCAATTGGGTATGTGATTTGTATCTTGTCAAAGCTTTATTTATTTATTTATTGTGCTTCTTGTATTCATAATTTGCGATTTTGACTTATTCTGAGAATATGCAGGACCAGATAACTTGGAGAACCTGAAGAAGCTAGCTGAACAATTTCAGAAGCAGGCTCCTGAATCAGGAGCTGGTGCAACCACAGCACAAGAGGATGATGATGATGCGGTCCCAGATCTTGTCCCAGGGGAGACGTTTGAGACAGCTGCTGAGGAGACTATGTCTTAGAGTTTTTACCGTGGCATCTTTTATATATTTTGGTTGTCTTTAAGCTTTTTTCTTTCTATTTTTTTTTAACTTTTCAAAATTGAATGTTTTTCAGGTGTTGTTAATACTTTAAGTAGTTAAGACACTTAAATCTGCCCTCCATCATCTAACTAAAAGTGTTACTACCTGACTATTCGAGTTTGTCTATTGTATGTCCCATCATTTTTGGAGGTAGTAGAAATCAATTTTGTTAGTTTATTTTCATGTTGATTCTCCATGGTTGTTGGGGAAGGCCTGATGCTTTGGCATCTGACATCATCGTCAGATCTCTATGCTTTTTCCGAGGATTTCTCTCTATTTGCAGATGAGACTACAAATGGAAATGTTACACCGACGATGCATCACATTTCTTTTATCGTAGTTCATTGTTTCTTTATTGGTTTTCTGTTGCAATGCTCATGATTATGAACCAGTCATTATATAGGTTGACACTGGGTATGTGATTTGATTGAAACAACTAAGAATCCCTAGAGCTCTTCAAAATTATTATTACAAGCTGATTTGATTGTTACTGGTAGACAATTCATAGTGGTTCTTGGGCTTAACTACCCAAATAACGGAAGATTGATTTGTGCCGTGGCTATGGAAAATCACTGTATATTTGGATCTAAATCACTCGATGACCTGAATATTCATTTAAATGTTGTTACACTGATGTATAAAATTAGTGTCTAAATGAGGACCTGAATATTCATATTAATTACAATTATGTAGCAAATTAGGGGCTAAATAGTTTGAGTAAGATTGCGTTTTGACACTCATGGTTAGATGGGTGGCCAAGGGTGGATAGGATATAATGATTATTATATATATTTTTAATCAACTGATTGACGAGTAACAAGGATATAATTAATTTAACTTATTATTTATTTTATTGTATTGGATTAGTGTAATTTGTTGAGTTACGAAATTATTTAAATTTGTTATTTATCCTATTGGACTAGTGTAATAGCTATGTTGATGAGTCAGAAAAAAAAAAAAGGAATTGTCTTTTTTAAAATACTTTTAATTTATTCTATTACTTCTAACTTTTCTCTCTCTATTTTTTATATATTTTTTAAATTATTTATATGTTTTTATATATTAAAATGAAATAACTTATAAAAAGTACAAAATTTTAAATTTAATTTAATAAATATAGACAGGAGTAATTTTGTCATTTTGTGTATTTTTGTCATATTCTTTTTTTCTATTAAGTCTACATTAAACATTTGATATGATAAAAACTTATATTTTTATCATATCTTATTTATTCAACCCTCTTATTTTATCTTGTTTTGCTGTATTCAACCAATCCCTTGAAATTGTTGAGCTTTAAATTTGCAACAACTTTTTTAATCAACAAATTAATTTTATTTGGTTGGTTACGGGAATTGTTTGAAGCTATCTCCCTCGTCACGCAAAATACTTCAATATATCACAAGTATTGTTCTATAACCATAAATGTCATTGAGTTACTAGCTAGAGATTGATTTGTTTCAGTGGCCCACTCCTGTGAGAACCTAACCATGAAGCTGATTGCTTAGTTAAAGAATGACCGAGGGAGAAATATTACTGTTGACATTATTGAAAGATTTATATTATATATGGATTCTTCTTTAATGATTTTAATCTAACGAAACAATCACACGTGGCTTATTGAAAGGGTACAAAGCCTTGTTCACAAAGCAATTTCTATTTTGGGTCAATGATTTAATTATCAATTAGTTCTATTTATCCATTTGTTAACGTATTTATGTGTTTTCTTTTTCTTAAAAAAATTAGTACTCATTGACTAAACAAATGAGTCACGCGTATTATATTGAGAGACTAACCGAGTCAACCGATCCGAAGGACACATATCATCATTCTAATATAAAGATTGGATTTGCACTCGTTGTTAATTTAAGGATTATGCATCTGTATCGTGATTCGTGGATATATGACAATTCACCCTCCTAAGTAGCTGTTACAATTCTACATTTCAGATCAACCTTTCACCAAATAAACCACGTTTGTTGGGAGCACTGAATATAAACAGATGGATGAATGATGCATGTTTCAGCTACTAACTAGTCATCACAGAAGGGATGTGACAAATTTTGTGCCAGTGCTCTCCATCTTTTTGGTATCGCTGCTCAAGTAGAAGGCAATTATGAATCCACAGAACAGAAAGGGAGTTAGGTAAAGTCTCTTCTGGCAAAAGCTGAAGACGAGGGCAATCGGCTATATAAAAGGATTTGAGAGATTTGAGGTGGAGAAAACCCATAGAGTTTGTTGTTGTTAGCTTTGAACATCTAGTTAAGTAAAGATCACTAAGAGTGGGTGGCAATAGCCTCTCCTCTGGGAAAGATTCCACATTTTCAAAGTCATCACTAATCCTGAGTTCTTTCAGAGAATAGAGTTTGAACAATCCCCACTCCACCCTAGAAGCAACCAATTTGGGGCAACCCTCAATGTTGAGGCAGCCTAGGCTTGATGGCAAACTTCCATTGGGAAATGACTCAAGTTTTGGACAATCACACAAATATAGAGAATGAAGGTTGGCAAACAAGTTCAGTGCCAAAGGCAATGAGGAGGAGTACCAGCTTGTTATACTTAGATTGCCAAGAGAGTCATGACTTTGCAAATCCAAAGAGGACCATTTTAGGTTTGGACAATGGAAGTCATGTACTATCAAATTCTCAAGCAAGGCATTTTTTAACAAAATTTGCTTGAGGCACGACTCAATGATGCGAGATCCACGAAGTGTGGCCTTCTTCAAGCTAGATGGCAAATCTTTTAGCAGAATGTTTTCACACTTGTGCAGTTCTAGCTCATGAATATTAGCAGCTCTGGGAATTGAAACCTCAAGGTGTTGGCAATCACAAATTACCAACTTTTGCAAAGAACGAAGGTGTTGAGGCAGTGTCCTCCTCAACCTAGGACAACGCCTTATAGAAAGCTCTTTAAGACAAGACAAACCTTCACCATCATTGTGGCCTTCACAACTGCACCATTCTTTCCATGCGCTCATTTCCTCAAATTTCAAAGTTTCAAGAGATCTGAATGGAATGTTTGAGGAATCATTACCATAAAACTCGGGCCCAATGACCTCTATTCCATAAAAGCATGAAATAGAAAGTTCCTTCAGAGAGGGGAGCTGCCCAAATGGTGGCAAGATGAAACAGAATTTACTTTCAGAGAGCTTAATAGATACTAAATTTGGTAAATGAGAACTGCTGAACCAACTTGGCAAGCTAGTGCCATCATAACGTAAAATAGTGAGCCTTTTCAAGTTACTATTTGGTTGGAGAGCCTCCAATACATGCCTTTCAATTATTGAGTCATCATTTTCTCTGCACCTTCCAAATTTGTCACCCCAATTCAACACTAATCCTTCTAAATGCCTTTTATCTTTCATATTAGCTTCCATGGCATCTGCAGGATCAATGACATTTTCTAACTTCAAAATTGAAAGTGTTCCTTGGAGATGGTTGAGATTCCCCAACTTCTCAATATCAAACCCACTATGCTTCCCAATGTAAAAACAAGTCAGCGTTCGAAGATGTTTTAGCCTACCCATTTGCTTTGGCATCTTCTTTATTTCGCTCATACGCAAGTCAAGGTGACGCAAGTTGACAAGTTTGTACAAATCTGAAGGGAGCTCTGTCAAACGATAGCACCATATCAATTTCAGTGTTTGCAAATTATGCAGCACACAAATGGAGTCGGGTAATCTTTTAATCTCAGTGTACGAAAGGTCTAAATAACGCAAAAGCTTTAAATTGCTTATATCATCAACTAAATCTGTGAGGAGACACTCACTGAAGGATAGAACACGCAAATATTTTAGTGTAGAAAATAAAACACACTGGACATTGCTGTTTATCATCAAGCCTTTCCTGCCAGGTTCCCAACTGAGTGCCATAAGACAACGCAATCTGTCACACCCACAAATATGCTCCAAACATTTATCACCAAGGCTAAGTTTTTGAGAGCATGAAAAATGACGTGTTCTCTTGTGTATATCTTGCACCAAATCACCCTCTACCCGTAAACAAAATTCTCCAGACACCGACTTTGCTAAATCATTGAGAAGATCATGCATAACAAAGCGAGAACCACGGCGCATTGATTGTTGGAAAAATGACCTGGCCACTAGATCATTGAAGAACTCACTACCTAACTCTTCTTCACTCTCATATATTCGGCAGCAATTCAACAAACCTTCGGCCATCCACAATTGGATTAATTGACCCCTCTCAAACTCATAACCTTTGGGAAATATGGAACAATAAGCGAAACAACGCTTTAGATGGGAAGGAAGATTGTGGTAACTCAATCTTAGTGCAGCGTTAATGTTGCTATCATTGTCAGATAAGTGCCATATGTCACTTTCCAATATCTTAACCCATTCATGCTGTGAGAACTTTGCATGCAAGATATTTCCTAGTGTTTTTATAGCTAAAGGCAACCCTCCACATTTCTCAACAATTTTTCTGCCAACCGATACGAGATTTGGATATTTGGTGGCATCCTTGTCATGAAATGCAAGCTTCACAAATAGCTTCCAACAATCATCTTTCTCTAGTGGCTTTAAATGAAGTAATTGGGAGGAATTCATGGCTGATGCTACCTTCTTAGTACGCGTGGTAACAAGAATTCTACTTCCTGAAGCTCCATAAATGAAGGGGGCTTTTAATACCTCCCAGATTAAATAGTTTTCGTTCCAGACATCATCTAAAACAAGAAAAAATTTCTTCCCCATCAGTCTTTGCTTCAGTTGAAGCTGGAGCAGATTCAAGTCTTTCTCTTCTTCTAATAAGGAATGAAGTGCCTTAAGAATTGCTTTTGTGACAAAAACAACATCAAAATCATGTGAAACATAGACCCAAGCTTTAAGGTCAAATTGATTATCTATTCTTTGGTCATTATACACAAGTTGAGCAAGGGTGGTCTTACCTATCCCTCCCATACCCACTATGGTAATTATTGGTATCCGATTGCACGTGACACTATCAGAAAGTAAAATTTTGACTATTTCCTCTTTATCATCATCTCTACCACATATGCCAGATTCATCCACCAAAGATGTAGTTGGCAACCTGTTGGAGAGTTTCCAACTGACTCCATCTTCATTGCCAGCACAAGTTCCTTTTTTCAGTCCTAATATATCCTTTTGCTCTACAAGAAAATTTAGGTTCTCAAGCATTTCTTTGACCCTTGATGCAATTTCTTTGTCAAATGGATTAATAATAGTTGTAAAGAAGCCTAGTACCTTGCTATTAGAAGGTTGAAATTCAGCTTCGAGCTTCTGTCGTGATGCTTCTGTAGCAACCTCATCTAAAAGCTGCTCTGCTTCATATACAACTTCTTTAAGCTCATCAAGCCACTTCATCACATTTGGGTTTTTGTATTGCCTTTCCTCTGCATCCTCCAGAACTTGGTTTATAGAATTAAGTGCAATCTCTAGCTTCTTGAGTAGCTCATTCTTAAGTTTCCTTCCTCGGAAGTAGTCTTTTATGTCACTTGAAGCCAACCTATCAAAAGTCACTTGAAGGCACGCTGAGAGAAATGCTCCCCCAACCAGCTCAGCCATGAGTCCTTCGATTTCAGGCACTTCACAAATTACAATCACCAACTTCAACCCTCAAGCCTCTTCTCAATTAATCCAGAAGAACTACATATCCAAACAAAATAACAATCAGCTATCTCAAAATTTGATCATAGATAATGTTAACATCACTCCTTTAAAAGTCCTTTAAAAGTTATTTTAAGTACTTGAGAATGGTAAATTTTTATTCAAAGGACAAATTCTTTACCGGTGAAAATTTAAGGTTTATCCGGATAATCTACAATAACATTAAATACAAATATTTTTAGTATACAGCACTAACACCACCTAAACACATATTTATTACAAACATTTGTATTTTAATATTTTCTTTTCCAATAATAACCAACCAATTTTAGATGCTTAAGAGATGATGTTAACACCAACATTCAATCAAAGCCAAAGTAACTGAAGCCAAAATTGAAAACTAAGCAAGGAGGCTTTACCTTAACTACATAGAATGAAATGATCCACAGTTTAATGTTGAAGATCCAAGTTCATGAACCTCTTAACAAAGTCTATTAAATATAATTAACAAGGATTGAAGCAACTCAGGTATAGCAAAGGGCAATGTGTATCTGGTTGGTTGAAAATAGAGAATGAAGTATCTGGTTTTCGAAAATTCCACCCATTCCCACTTACATGCCGTGTCATACACTCATAGATAACACGGAATGGTGACACGTGTCTAAGATGACACTCTTTGATATCAATTTACTGTATCTCAATCTAATTAAAACATATTAGTGTTTTCAGGGACGATTTTTCTTTTGATGTTATCTTATTTCCTTTGCTAAAATTGGGTACAAATCAATCCATGGGAGCGCAACTTTTGTATTTTTGGTTTAATAATATTTTTTATATTTTAAATTTAATTTATATGTGATTTTTTTTTTAATTAATGATTTTTTTATTTTTAAAATTATATAAATTTAGTCTCTTTATCAATTTTATTGTATTTAAATTCTTAAATTATTATTTTTTATCTAAATATTTTTATAGAGTTTATGATAAATTTATTTTATGATAAATTTATTATATGATATAGTTTAAAACGTTTGAATATAAATAATTTAATAAACTTTGAGGAATTTTTTTAAATGTGTGATTAATATTTTAAAAGTGAAAAATAATTATTATATTTTTAATGAAAAATATTTTCATTTGTATGTTTTTAAGAAACAATTAAAGTAAATAAATTGATTCGACTTATTAAATTTTTTAATAAAATATAAAAATTGATAAAAAAATAAAATTTATATAATTTTAAAATAAAAATTAATTATTATAAAAACTAAAAATTAATTAATTAAGAAATTAGAAAATCAAAATCATATATTATAAATAAATTAATAAAAAAATATAATTATCTTTTTATTTTACTCCAAAGTGGTCTAATTAGGATAAGTTGAGCAAGTAGCAGTTTTTTTTTTTTTTTTTTTTTTTTGTTTCTGGGTTATTTTAAAAGCAAATTATCTAAATAGGATCTTTGCACAACATATTCCTTTTTTTAAGTCATTTTTTACATGTGGCATGAACATTGTCTATGTTTGAGATGAATTTTTTTATCATTTTTTTAAATGAGTATCATCCCAACTAGTATTGACACTTGATTTGATCTTAACACATGTCAAAAGTTGATATGAATTAATTAAATTTAAAATTTAAAATTCAAAAATTTAAATCAACATCTAAGGGTAGAGGATGTCACGTGATGCAATTTTAGCTAGTATTGACATTAACAATGACGATACTATTGTCAATGCTAGTACTAGTCAAGACTGCGCCAATTTTAGCTAGCATTGACATTAACAATGACGATACTATTGTCAATGCTGGTACTAGTCAAGACTGCGCCAAATGACAAGTTCTTGAATGGAAAAAAACTCAAAAAACTTCCCTCCCTCACTCACTCACTATTATTGGCATTTGTCCCTATTTATAATTTAAAAACAATGGTTGTCATGGTTTGATTTGTAAATTGAGGGTTGAATTGAATTAGATAAAAAAAAAATATCTAATAAGATATTCTTCTTCTTATATCATATGAATTGTATTTTATGAATTTGAGAAACATTTCACATTGAGACATGTTGCATTCTTTAATAACAAAAACCTTATTTTTTACAAGATTCCTTTGTCGCTAATTTTTTAATTTTCTTTTTGACGAGAATGGAAGATGAATGAAAAGAACAAACAAAAAGGGAAGTATCATTTTTATCAATGTCGATACTAATCCATATTGCGCCATGTAACATTTTCTACCTTTGGTCATTGATTTAAATTTTTGAATTTTAAATTTAATTAACCCTTATCAACATTTGCCATGTGTAAGGCCAAAACGAGTATTGACACCTGTTGAAACTATTTTTTTTAAAAAAATTAAGTATCTTTCTAAAAGAGACAATACTCATATTACATGTTAAAAATTATCATATATAGGAAATATTTTTATAGAGACCCTATTTAGATATATTTTTTAAAATTAACCTAAATAAGAAGAAAAACTTGCAAGCAGCTTTGCATAGGAATTGTGGACTTCGAATCTATCTCTCTTGTTAAGGCAGAAATTGTATGCCCAATTCCATTTTTACTTAAGCAAAAATATAGAAAACAACAAAAAAATTTGTACAAAATTAACTTAAACAACTTTCGCGTGTTCCTAGTGAGAGGGAGTGGAGGGGCTAGGTGGATATGGGGATGAGGGGATTAGAAGGAACAAATATCACATAATTAATGAACAAAGGTCAGAATATTCAAAGTTTGATTTTTCTAATCAATTAAACACAATTAAAAGCCTATTTAGAAAGGCTTACAGAGCTAAAAATATTGCTCATTATTGGGCCTTAAGATTAAGAAAATACAATATCGTATCTTGGATGAAATTATAGAATTTGCCTTCATTATTGAGGACAACCACTTCTTGGCCATTAATAGAGTCCATCACACGCAAGGTCTCAGGGTGAGAAGTCCAAAGAGCGCATGAACATTAATTTGGGTAGAGGAGGAGGTTATGCAATCAACGCTATGAAATAACAAAGTGTCATATGGTAACGATGGAGGTAGTTCAAAGTCAATAGCGTCATCATCGTCAACAATGAGGAAGTATTTTGATTTACACCTTTGGTTCGGCCAAAACATTCATCACAATTGTAACAAGGGCTTTTTTGTGTTGGAGTGCCATTTCAACTAGGGTGAGCTTCTGAAAGGTGGTTTTCAGGAGTGTAGGTAGGAGTGGAGGTCATGACACTGGTGGAATAAATGTGAAAGCTCTGCTTCTAGAGATGTCGGGTTAAAGTAAGGACGAGGGAGACATTTTGTATCAGTGAGTTTGTTCTCTTGCAAGTGGGTAAAAGCAGCAACATGAACGAGACTTAGAGGTTGAAACACCTGAACTTTCCATCAGATATTCAGAGATAAGCTTGAAATGAAGCAACTGAGGAGGAAAGTTAATGGAAGGATGATGATGTGATTAGCAAGACTTTTAAACCCAGAGAGATAGTGATATAGGACTTTGTAGATGAGTCATGCTTAGCTAAACATCTAAATTCTGTTATTTCTGTTATTCTTGAATAAGTCAGTTTGTTTCTTTAATTGGAAGGTTGTTAGGAGTTGTTAGTGGTTGCTAGCTATATAGTAGTTGAATTCCATAATTATGATTCATTCTTGATCAATGGTAAAATTTTGTAATTTTCTCTCTAATTCAATAAGATTTTTGTATTCCATTCTCATTGGGGTCTTTAGTGCTTTCAATTCTTTGAGTTATTCTTCTCCCAAAATTGTTTACATTAGTGGTATCAACTTGGCACCTTCCAGCGGCGTTTATGGCATAAGCAACAAGAACTCAAATAGCTTTGTGCAAACAAGAAGAACGATTGGAAAACTGAGTAGTAGCACAATTGAAAGCAATATTTATGGAAATTATAATAACCTTAAGATAAACTATGGATTCGTCGATGGATGAATGAGTTTAAGAATGTCTCTCAGGAAGCACTTAGCAGGATCAAATTCGCTAATAGTTAGAGCAATTCCACGGAATGAATTTACTTCTTTCACTTATTCTTGTGGACAAGGTTAGCGCGAATTGATTTTTTCTATTTTAATGGTGATTCGGTGAAACAATGGATTTATCAATGTAAAACATATTTTGCTATTGATGGAACACCTGAGGATGTTAAAACAAAGTTAGCATTAATTCATTTTGAAGGAAAAACATTACAATGGCATACATCTGTGGTGAAAACTCTCCCTATTAATAGTTTACCTTCTTGGTTGGAATATACTAAAATTTTAATTGAAAGATTTGGAGAAGTTTGTTATGATCCTATGGCAGATCTTATGAAACTTAGGCAGAAAGGAACTGTTGTTGATTACCATGAGTAGTTTGATGCAATTGTGTGATCAGAAGGGTGGTTTATTGTTACAATACTTAACCAATCATGCTTCTTCAAGTGAAGGAAATGTTTTTGTTGAGAACTTACTGTTACAATTTGAAGATGCTTTTCAAGAACTAGTTAGTTTACCACCCAAGAGGGAAGGTCATGATCATAAAATTCCTTTGGTTCAAGAGGCTAATTGATAAGTTTGTAATTAGGTCCTCTTTTACAGCCTATATATTCATATTTGACCTTTATTTTATTTAGGTTTTACACTAATTTATATATTAATTGTGCAGTTTGGTATAAAGAGGCCGCAAGTGGATTTTGGGTGCATTATTGGCCCAAATTTATGGAAGATTAGAGCTTCGCAGCAGTCAGCACGCCCAGACCCTTTCAACAAGCACGGGGGTGCTTCGAGCCCATGCACGGTCGTGCTTAAGGCCTTGCATGGTCGTGCTCATCTACGGGAAGCCCAATTATGAAGAATCTTTAGGGTTTTCAAATCCTATTAAAAGAGAGATCTCAGGCATCATAAAAAAGACCGTTTTTGACATCTTGGCTTTGGCTTTATAATAGATCTGATCTCGTCTCTCTTGCACGAGATCCTTGACACATGCTTGGCAAGACTTGAAGCTTCAAGCGATCGTACTTGAAGTCTGGGAATACATCTCATACTCTAGTTTGATATTTCTTTTGATTATGTCTTTGTTTATGATTGTTTTAGTTCTTTCTTTCAACATGAATAACTAAGTCCATAGCTAGGGTTATGGGAACTATTGTTCATGAATTTATGGAATTTTGATGTTTGAATCTACATTTGATTTCCGTTTTATGATTAGATTTTATCCTATTACGTTTCTTTCTCAATCCTAATTAATTATATCGTCAGGCGACCGTACCTCGGTTAATTAATAGATCTATAGGGTAAAACGAGACAAAGGATTAGGTGTACCAAACTAATCTTTCTCTTTTAATTGTTATTAAATTAACAAGTTCGTAGGCTCCTTAAGCTTTCTTAAATTAATGTCTTGCATGACTATTGGAGATATTAATTTAGAGAAAAGAATATTAATATTGCATGATCATTGAGTATTAATAGTATTCGTATGAATGATTAGTAATCACAAGGAAATCGGATTTAGAGTTAAATAGAAAAATAACATAAAAGATTGAATGAAAAAACCCATATGCCCTAGGTTTCTCTCTAATAAGTTTAACCAAGACGTGCATTGTATTCCTTACTCTTAGTTTTATAATTGATTTTATAAATTCTTGTTTTTAATTAATCTTGTATCTTTGAAGCTTAAACAATTGAATTAAGAAATTCTTAGTAATTGGAAATCAATCCTTGTGGGACAATATTTCGGGAACTTAATTTAAGAACCCTTTATTACTTCTCAATGGGTACACTTGCCCTTCGAACAAATCTAATAAATAAAAGATCTTATAGATATACTAAACAACAAAAAGATATAATTGATAAGTTTGTGCAGGAGTGGAATTATTCGAAACAGCAGCAGCCCTTATGAAGTTATGCTAACCAAGTGGTTTTAGTGGGGAAGAAGGATGGTTCTTGGAGATTGTTTGTTGACTATAGAGAACTTAATAAGCAAACTGTGAAAGACAAATTTCCTATTCCTCTAGTAGATGATCTTTAAGATGAGCTTCATAGGTCAAGTATATTCTCTAAGATTGATTTAAGGGTTGGTTACAATCAAGTAAGGATGGATGAGGCTAATGTGCATAAAATAGCCTTTAAAACTCATGCTGGCCACTTTAAATATTTGGTAATGCCCTTTGGGTTAACCAATGCCCCTGTCACATTTTAAGGGTTAATGAATGATGTTTTTAAGAAATTTCTGAAGTAATTTTTACTTGTATTCTTTGATGATATATTAATATATAGCAGTAGTTTGGTAGATCATTTACAAAATCTATAACTAGTTTTGATGACTATGAAATCTCATTCTTTGTTTGCTAAAAGATCCAAGTGCTGTTTTGGAGTGGGAAGGGTAGAATACTTGGGCCACTTTATTTTAAAGGAAGGGGTTGCCATGAACCCTACTAAAATCATGGCTGTGCAGAATTGGCCAACGCCAAGGAAACTTTAGCAATTAAGAGGGTTTCTTGGGCTAGTTGAATATTATAGCATATTTGTCAAAGGGTATGAAAGTATTGCTAGGCCTCTAACTAATACGCTAAAGAAAAATAATTTCTGTTGGTAAGTAGAGGCTAAGGCTACCTTTCAGGCACTTAAAGATCACTTGGTTAGAGCACCAATGTTATCTTTACTTGATTTTTCTAAGGAGTTTGTGGTGGAAATGGATGCCTCGGATACAAGTATTGATGCTGTTCTCATGCAAGAACATCATCCTATTACTTTTATTAGTAGGATGTTGAACTTACAACCACAGTCATTTTCTACTTATGACAAAGAATTATTAGCAATAGTATTTGTTGTGCAAAAGTGGAAGCATTACCAACTTAATTCTCATTTGATCATCAAAATTGATCATAGAAGTTTTCAATATTTTCTCGGTCATCGGTTGACAACAGCTTTCCAGCAGAAAAAACTTGTAAAGTTAATGGAATTTAACTTTTCTAAAGAAAAGTATATTATTTGCTGAATGAGTTGTGTGTCTAATGCAGCCCACACAATATAAATTTATACTAATTTATAGAAAAATACAATTAATTTCTACTTAATAATCAGAAATCAATCATCTTAATTTCCTAGAATATGTAATTGTTAATTTCCTACAAATATGTATCTGCTAATGACTAATTACATTCTAACACTCCCGCTCAAGTTGGAGCATATATGTCATTTGCACCAAGCTTGTTACAAATATACTCAATCCAAGGGCCTCTAAGGGACTTGGTGGACATGTTAGCTAGTTGATCGATAGAATTAACAAAATCAGTCGTGATTTCTCCAGAAAGCACCTTTTCTCTTACAAAGTGACAATCAATCTCTATGTGTTTGGTTCTTTCATAAAATACTGGGTTTGATGCAATGTGAAGTGCAGCTTGATTGTCACAAATAAGTTTTGTTTCATGGATGTCTCCTACTTTTAGTTATAGTAGTAGTTGCCTAAGCCACATAAGCTCACAAGTGGCTGGTGCTGTAGCATGATATTCTGCTTCTGCACTGGATCTGACAACTATGTTTTGCTTCTTACTTCTCCATGAGATCATGTTTCCTTCGATAACAACACAGTACCCAGAAGTGGATCTTCTATCTGATGGTGACCTTGCCCAATCCATATTAGAATAACAAGTAATCTTAGTATTGCCTTTGTCTTCATACAATAACTCTCGTCTCAGAGTATTTTTTATGTACGAATAATACGTGTCACAGCATCCCAATGGCTATCATAAAGGGCATTTAGAATTTGGCTTACCACGCTAACCGCGAAAGTGATATCAAGTCTGATGACGGTGAGATAGTTGAGTCTGCCTACCAAGCAGTGATATCTTTCTGCTCTTTCAATGGCTCCCCCTGACCTAGAAAAAGCTTGATATTGGGATGCATAAAAGTATTACAAGGACGACAATCAGGCATACTGGTTTCTATAAGAATGTTCATGGCACACTTACGTGGATTAATAATAATGCCAGAAGAAGATTGAGCAACTTCAATGCCTAAGAAATATTTGAGAGGGCCTAAATCTTTAGTATGAAATTGCTGTGAAAGGTGCTCTTTGAGTTGTTGAATTCTAGTTGCATGATCACCAGTGATGACAATGTCATCAACATAAACAACAAGATAAATGCACATATTGGAATAAGAATGAAAGAAAAAGATAGAATGATCAGCCTCACACCTAGTTATGACAAACTACCAAACCATGCTTAAGGAGATTGCTTCACACCATAAAGAGACCGATGAAGCTTATAAACAAGACCAAAATCACCAGGAACCATAAAACTAGAAGGTTGATCCATATAAACTTCTTCATGCAATTCACCATGTAAGAAGGCATTTTTAATATCAAGTTGATGAAGAGGCTAATGACGAATAACAACCATAGCCAGAAATAGACGAATAGAAGTTATTTTGGCCACAGGGAAAAATGTGTCCCCATAATCTAGACCAAAAATCTATGTATATCCTTTCATGACCAATCGAGCTTTCAACCGATCAACATGTCCATCTAGTCCAATTTTCACTGTATAAACCCAATGACAGCCAACAGTTGTCTTGTCAGGAGCTAAAGGAACAAGTTCCCAAGTGCCACTGGAATGTAAGGCTGTCATCTCCTCTACCATTGCCTGGCGCCATCTGGGATCAGCCATGGCTTCACCTATAGTCTTAGGAATAGGCACATAATCCAGAGAAAAAGCAAAGGAGAAATAAAATGGAGACAAATGATCATAATTAATGGTAAAAGCATAGAGAGGGTTAGGATTACGAGTGGAATGAATACCTTTTTGTATCGCAATAGGAAGTTCAGGTGTAGGAGGTGTGCACAGAGGGGCAGTTGGAGCTGGAGATGATACTGGAGGATCAGTGGAGTGAGTCACAACCAGATTTTGAGACCGTCCATAGTATTGAAGCAATGGAGGTGGAGGAGAAGCAATTACTTGAGCCAGAACAGGCAAAATGCATAAGACTTCTAAAGAGTCTGTTGCAAAATTGGCATCTAATATAGTAGAAGTGAAGAAGGAAGTAGTCTAAAAAAGGGTGACATTAGCAAAAATAATATATCATTGAAGTTGAGGAAAAAAACAACGATAGCCCTTCTGAAGGCGTGAGTAACCAAAGAAAATACACTTGAGAGATTTGGCAGAAAGTTTATCTTTACCTAGAGTAAGGTCATGGACAAAGCATGTGTAACTGAAGACATGAAGAGGTATGGAGTAAAGATCTTGTGTTGGATATAAGAGAGAGTGAGGAACCTAACTACTAAAGACGGAGGAAGGCATGTGGTTGACCACATAACATGCTGTGAGAATGGCATCTCCCCAAAAGCAAAGAGGAACATTGTGGTGAAGAAGAAGAGTATAGGCAGTCTCAACCAAGTGTCAATTCTTTCATTCAACAACACCATTCTATTATGGTGTGTGAGAGCAAAATGTTTGATGAAGAATATCCTATGAACTCAGAAAAGATTGAAATGGGAAGACATATATTCACGAGCATTGTCAGTATGTAAAATTTTAATAAATGTGCCAAATTAATTTTGAATTTCAGTTAAGAAACCTTGGAATATAGAAAAAATATCAGAACGATTTTTCATTAAGAATAACCAAGTACATCAGGAAAAATCACCAATGAAAGCAATGAAGTAATAAAAACCTAAAGTTGAACTAACACGACTCAGACCCTAAACATCTAAATGAACCAATGCAAAAGGTGACAAAATATTTTTATTAACTCGAGGACCATAGGTATGACAAGTATGTTTTCCTAACTAACAAGACTCGCATTGAAAAGACAAACTGTGAGAAAAACTTAGAACCATTAGACGCATTTTGGTAATACTAGGATGACCTAAGTGTTGATGCTCAAGAGCTAGAGGCATAATGGAGAGACAAGCAACTGATTGTGACAGATAGTATAATTGTCGAGACTCATGTCCTGCTACAATCGTCTATTCGGTATGCCGATCCTGAACAAAAACACAATTATTAGCAAAAAGAATAGAGTAATTTTGGGTGCGAGTGAGCTTGTTGATGGAGATTAAATTAAAAGGACACCCAGGGATATAAAACACAGAATCCAAGGTAAGATTAGAATAGGATTGTGTTTGACCAATGCCATGAACTTTTATTTGAGAGTCATCTACCATGGTAACAGAGGGTAAAGAATCCAAATAAGATAGATGTGAGAAAAGGGATTGGTTACCAAACATATGATCAGAGGCACTGGAGTCTAGAATCCAAGGTCCAAGGGAGGAGGACTAAGAAACAAAAGCTACAGGATTACCAGACTAAGCAATGGCGGCAACAAGTTGGGTATGCTGCATGACTGCCTTATATTGGAGAAATTCATTGTAGGCCTTAGCTGAAATCGAAATCTCATCAGATACTCCTGGAGAAACAACATGAGCAATATTAGTTGTCGTGGGTTGTTTTCGTATCTTTGTACAACATTCTGCCTCAGTATGGCCATACCGTTGACAAAAATTGCAATGAGGGTGTTGACCATGATAGCCACTAGGATTTCCACTTCGTCCACCCTGGTAGGAAGAGTGGGAATAAAAGGCTGATGAATTGGTCATAGATACAGGAGAATGCCCAAACATGTAAGGAACTAAGAGGCGAAGTAATTGTTCATTAACAGTGTCATAAGATGGAATAACAGTACCCGATAATATTTGATTGCGGACAGAGTCAAACTTAAGAGGAAGTCCAGCGAGGGCAAGAACCATAAAGAACTTTCCACGTTGTTCAGCATGTTTGTCTGCATCATTAGTGAAAGACATGAGTGCACCAAAATCAGTAATTAAGCGATCAAGCTTATTGAGATAGGTCTGCGTATCATGATTTTTCAGCTTCACAGAAAAAAGGTTGGAGACAACATTGTAAAGACGATGAACATCATAACAGGTAGCAAAGGCTTGGTATTGAGGTTGCAATTTGACATCAATGGAGAACTAGAGAATGCTACACAAAGAAGCATCAATTTGCTTCCATCGGGCTTGATCATTGCTGGGAATATCCTTGGCCTGTTTGGTAAAGTAGTCGTCACGACCTTGACCCTAAAACCACAGCTGGATAGTAGCAGCCCAAGAGTTGTAGTTGCTCATCCTAGTCAGTTTTTCACATAGAATCAACGGAACAGTGGTAAAAGTCACAATTGAGGCGGTATTCAAGTGTGAGTTGTCGGAAGCCATCAGAAATAAATATGAAATAGGGCTAAAATGGAGCACTGGGGTGTGAGGCCACGCTGGCAAGTGGAAAAACCCACAGTCTGATACAAGCACGTGAAACGCACGCAAGTGTGGGCATGTGTGACGGCAGATCGGAGTAGCGAATAGAGCTTGGTGGTCACCGAGGTAAGGTGGTTCTGGTCGTAATGCTCACCAAAGGAAAGGGATGCTTGATGATGGAGGAAAAGGGCACAATAATCATGGTTACTATTCACCCAAAAAATAACTATTGTAGATCGAAAAGAAACCTAAACTACTGATACCATATATAAAAGTATATTTGCTGAATGTGTTGTGTGTCTAATGTAGTCCACTTAGTATAAATTTATACTAATTTATAGAATTAAATACAATTAATTTCTACCTAATAATTAAGAATCAATCATCTTAATATCCTAGAATATGTAACTATTAATTTCCTACAAATCTATAACGGCTAATGACTAATTACATTCTAACATTTTCCAAGAATTCAAGCAAGGTCATACAAATGTGGCTGTTGATGCTTTGTCTAGGCAGTAATTGGTGAAAAGTCATGCATTCATTACTCTCACACCTGAGAGTAATTTACTCGATAGAATAAAGTTGTCTTGGTAGCAAGATTTGCACATGCAGAAGATTATACAAGATCTGTAGGCTGATGCTGGTTTATATAAGCATTATGCATGACAATAAGGAGAACATAGAAGAAAGGGAAAATTAGTGATTAGCAATGAGGAAAGCTTAAGGCATGATATACTTTTTTGGTTACATTCTGCAGCTGCTGCTGGTCATTTAGGCAGGGATGTCATCTTGAAAAGATTACAATCTATAGTATATGAGATAGGAATGTCAAAGAATGTTAAATTTTTTGTCATGAAGTGTGAAGTTTGTCAAAGGTGCAGGTATAATACAGCTACTTCCCTAGGCCTTTTGCAACCTTTACCAGTACCTGGCAAAATTTGGCAACATATAACAATGAATTTTTTAGAAGGGTTGCCTAATTCTTATGGTAAATAGGTCATATATGTGGTGGTGGATAGGTTAAGTAAGTTAGCTCATTTTATGGCTTTAAGTCATCCTTATTCTGCTGCTGAGGCGGCTCAAAGTTTTCTTGATAATGTGTTTAAACTACATGGTTTTCCTGACTCCATTACTAGTGACAAAGATCTAATCTTTGTTAGTCAGTTTTGGAAGTATTTGATGGCTTTCTAAGGAGTACAGGTTCAGCTTTCCACTGCCTATCATCCTCAAACGAATGGGCAAACTGAAGTTGTTAGTAGGTGCTTAGAAACCTTCCTAAGATGCATGTGTGCAGATGTTCCTCATGACTAATCCAAGTGGTTAGCTTTGGTCGAGTGGTGGATAATACATCTCACCATAGTACTCTTAAAACCAGTCCTTATAAAGTGGTTTATGGCCAGCCTCCTCCATCTTATCTTCCTTACTTACCAGGGGAATCAAGAATAGAATTAGTTGACAGAAGTTTACAAAAAAGGGAACAAGCATTGAAGCTCATCAAATTTCATATGAGAAGGGTGCAAGACAAGATGAAACAACAAGCTGATAAGCATAGAAGTGACAAGACATTTCAGATTGGATTTGGTGTATGTCAAGTTGCATCCTTATAGATAAATCTCTGTGGCTTTTAGGAATAATGCAAAGTTAACTCCAAAATATTTGGGTCCTTTCCTTGTGATGGACAGAATTAGAGCAGTGGCTTATAAGATCCAGCTCCCTCCTTATTCTAAAGTTCATGATGTATTTCATGTTTCTCAATTAAAGAAACACGTGAGAGAAGCTGTGACATCTAGTTCTATTCCTTTGGATGATGCAGATGTTATTGGAGGCAAAGAACCAGACGCCATTTTTGATAGGATAACTATGAAGATAGACAACAAAACTGTCACCAAGGTCCTAGGTA